TTTCGTTCTTGCAGTGTTCTATGTGCCTTCGCTGTGGCTGCAGCATTGACAGCGGAGACACAGACTTGCTGTCTGACGGACCTGCCGGCAGCAATCTTTTGACGTCTTTTGGCCAAAGTCTGCAGCCGGGCCAACATCCTCAGCATCCCCTGCCGCATCCTTAGCATCCACTGTCGGGGAAAGACGTATTTTCAGGGGTGCTCTTTACACGCCTTTCAATGAAAGAGGAGCCGGGCCAACATCCTCAGCATCCCCTGCCGCATCCTTGGCATCCACTGTCAGGGAAAGGCGTGTTTTCAGGGGTGCTCTTTACACGCCTCTCAATGAAAGAGGAGCCGGGCCAACATCCTCAGCATCCCCTGCTAGGGAAAGGCGTGTTTTCAGGGGCGCTCTTAGCATCCTCAGCATCCCCTGCCACATCCTCAGCATCCCTGGCGGGCGGGCCAGCAGCCTTGTCAGGAGTGGTTCCTCATCATCTCCTCAGCATCCCAGCGCGCGTCACAGATCTTTCAATGAAGGAGGGGCCAGGCCAACATCCTTAGCATCCCCTGTCGGGAAAGGTGTGTTTTCAGGCCCTGTCTGCAGAATTGCGGGGAGATGCGGCAAGGCTATGGCGAGAGTAGGGTGGCAGACTATCCAACCAAGGGGATTGCCAGGACTTTGCCAGGCAATGCGAAGCGCGGCAAGATTGCCTACAGAAGATTGCCGGATTTGTCGGGAACCGTGCGGAGACTATGCGGCAACTGTGCGAAAAGAGCTGCGGGAGCTGCGGCAAGACAATGGCGCCAGGGAAAGAATTGCCGGGACTCGGGACCGGGGCTAAGCCTACGTGCAGACAAGCTACAAAACCAAAACGGATTGCGGAGAATTGTCGCACATTTGTCGGACACGACAGGATGGCCAGTTTAACTGCAGAAGGGATTGCCATTTGCCGGGAAATGCTGGGAACTGCACGTGCGGCAAGAACTTTTGGCCAGATCCGCGAACGTCAGAAACGCCTCCAAAATGTACAAAGCAAGTTCTCGTTACATTAGGGTACCCCCCCACTCGTACATTTGCCAAAGGGGTGGGCCTACGACCATGCCCCCAGTTGCCCTTGACTTGCTCACTGCCTTTTGTAAGACTGTGAGGAAGTCGTGCAAGAACACTGTGCCTTTAGCTGACATGTCAGAACCCTGCGGGCCACAAAGATTCAAAGATCAACTAGGCTCCTACGGTTTCATTCCTGAACGTTGGATCTGAAGTAGGCCTTGCAGTCTCATGGGGGGCAACTTTGAGGCGCGCATGCAAAAAAAAACGCATTGGGTACCTGTGTGGGTTGTACACGCGTCAATGGCCATGCGGCGTGGTGTCAACAAGGTTTCGATTCAGGCACAATTGTCAAATAACCGTAATTGGGGGGGCTCCCAAGCAGTCTGCAAAAAATGCCAACTTGAGCGTTGATCAATCCCAAGTGTGTACTCAAAGCCAACTTGATGGATTGGCCACTGCAAACAACGCAAACGGTGGGATTCGCCCCATCGATGCCAAAGCTGCCGCGCGGGCGAAGTCCAGATGCTTCGCGTCGAAACCGTGGCGCCCCACGGAGACCGCGAAGCCCCTCAGGCCGCTGGGCCAAGGTGCCTCGCAGCTGAAAGGCAGCCTGAAGTTCTGAAGTGTTTAGCTTTGACAATTTGATGCTTTGGTTTGCGGGCATGAATTCCCGCAGAGAGATGTCCAAAAAGAATCCCCGATTCAACATGACAGCCTCAGAACCATGCCTAGCAAACGCATCAAATTGTGATCCCCACCCTGGGCATGACTCCGGGACACCTCCTGAGGTAGCTCTGCTGCTTGCAGCAGCAGCCTTGGCGGCACAAAACGCGCCTGCCACACTGATGCTGCATGCTTAGTATTCTGACAAGCTGCCGGGCAGTAGATGCCAAATACGCTCCTGGCAGGAAACAGGCAATAATTCGCCAGCATCCGCTTAACAAAGCAGCCTGGGCTCAACTGCCCTATGCTCGTGTACGCCTTGCAGCCTTGTATTTGCTACCTATGATTGCGGATCCTCACGTGACAAAGCGGGAGGTCTGCAAAACGCCCACTGCTAGCGCGAAAGAGAAAAAGACAGCATGCTTCGGATTGAGACGCTGCTCTCATGGGATGAGGATAGGCAGTGGGATAGCTTTGAGTCAGGCCAATCAAGCCAGTCAAAGTGGAGGTGCGGCTGCTGGAGCCATGTTATGATGTCGCCACCAGCTGCGCTATGCTGCACTCTTCTGATATGGCACCATCTGCAAGGCAGCACACAAGCGTCCCAACAAAGATGGAACATACGGAACTAAGAAAACAAACAGCAAAGCTGACAAACCTTCAGCAAAGCATCCCCGTCCTTCAGCGTCGGCCAAGCGGCGGCTCAACGGCAGGTACTCATCACAACGGCCTTCCACAAAGCAGCCGTGGCTGTAGCCTGGCTCAGGCTGCAGAACCGGCCCATTCCAACATCCAACCGGGTGACAAGCGCACCCCACAAAAAAGGCTCAGAAACTTGAGCCAGCGCTAAACCTATCCAGGAAGGTTGCTCGCCGAAGGCATTCAAACCATCAGCCTCAGAACAGTGCCAAACACCCTGAACAAATGCAACAAATCGAGAATCGCAAAAACATCAAAAAAAACGAAACACTTCTTGAGAGAGGCGGGAAGGAAAGCATGGTTGTGGACGATGCCAGAGTTTCCCCCCCCCCAGAATTGCCCAGCATAGCTTAGGTAGGACCATTTCAGCAGTGCTTTCGTGAAAGCAACATTATTGGAGGCTGAAGCAACAACTGACGAAACAACCAAAAATACGGAAAGAATTCCACCCAACCTGTCGATACATATTGTGGGTAGTTGTGTGCCAAAAAGCTTTGACATAGACCCTTCTCAGAAAAGCAATCCTTGCGCCTGACATTTTGAGCAAACGGACGTATCGGACATGTTGCAGCCGCGGGACCGGCCAAAGCAAGAATAGTTCCGGGCTGCAAGACACATCATGGAATCTTGAGGTGTGCAAATAGTTCTCCCGCAGAAGCAGACCGTTCTCTCCTTCCAATCCGTTCAATCCGTTCAATCCGTTCAATCCGTTCAATCCCACTTGTCAGCCTCATGGCCGGGTTTTTAAAGCCTTGGGGTACCCACCTTCAGCCAGCTCAAAGATTTCCTCAGCATGGCGACGCAAAAGTCGTGCAGCCTCTGCGAGGAAGTCCACGCCTGTCGAGTGCCATGCGGGGGGCCCGGGGTCCGTTAGCTCACCCGTGATGCATCTCTGCGACTGAACGGCTGGCGGAGTTGCTTTGCTGAGAATCTGAGACTCGAAGCCACAGAAGGGAGTGCTTAAAGGCAGTAGCTGACTTGCTGCAATGAGTGCCAATACCATTTTGCCTGCCATGGACGGAGTTGGTTACGCAAGCCCAAGTATCTTCCAAGCGGCTTGGCAAATCTCCTTGCTTCAGCAACTCCCGAATCTGGCCCTTCGGAAGCCTGCAACAAGATTGCGTTGCCTCGCCCTCTACTATACAGTTTTTACTGGCGCAGGAAGCCACCTGTACAAAAGGGCCATCTAAGAGTCCGCACTCAAATCAAGCACGTGCCAACCCTCTGCTGTAATGTGCTCTCTGTGTGTGTGTGCCCCCTCTGCGCTGGATGGAGCATTTTTCCACAACCTCATCAGGAACAGCAGGAGGTCTCCGCCTGTCTGGATCTCCAAGCATCTCCAGCAGAGGGTTTTCATCTCCTGAGCCGCCGCAAGGCAAGAGTTGACAGGACCCGAGCGAAAAGAAACCATCTTCTGTGCAGCCCAACTGCCACAGTTCTCCACCAGCTGAGACGTCTGACCTGCATCCACGAAAAGCTCTGCCACCGACTTCGCACAACTCATTTGATTGTTGCAGGGCGCTCGAACGGCACCCTTGGGCAATGCAACCAGACGAACGACGCATTGTTCGCAGTCTCGGCAAGCAAGGGCGGCAATTATTCAAGGCCAACTGTTGGTTTGCAGCTCTCATCATGACTGCCGGCTATCAGGCACGTCATCTGCCATCTGCCAGCAGGACACACTTTTCTGACTCCCTGGGGCGCCGAGCGGAAACTCGGGAGGCCCACGGCCGCCAACTCAGAGAGCCGGTCCTGGGCATGAGTCCGCGCCGCGACTCAAGCCCGGCCCACTCTAACCATAGCAGGGCAAATCAACCGAAACAACCGAGCCCCCGTTTTACAGTGGCCAGGATGGTCTTTTCAACGGACGGGTCAGCAACGCTGCCAAAAAGACCTTCCAGATTTGAAGCCTGTTGCGCTTTACGGAATGGCAACGCACACGCGGCACTGGCCTGTGCCACGGCACAGGCCACACCCGCCAAGCGCCAAGTCCACCCCATGGCTGATCCATGGTACGTGCTCAAGGCGAGAGCTGCTGTGGTTGCTGGAGATTCGGTAAAATGCTGCAAGGTGTGCGTTCACACTGCCTTGATGAGACCTGCATAAAGCATGGGGGAGTTGCTCTTCAGGTCATAAGGCGGGCACCCCATCACAGAATCTGCAATCGCCACTAGCACCAGCCAACCTGGAACCCTCGGCAAACTTTCTCTGCTAGGCTTGGTTTGGCAGCTCCTCCTCTTGCAACTCGTCTGGTCCATGTGCTGTTGGCCAAGCTGTCGTGCCTGTGCTTGCTTGCCTGAAACATTCAATTGCGCCAAAGGCTGCGATCAATTCAGGATAGTCCAGTTCATGAATAGTCACCAAAGAAACGAAATCAACACATCAACAATAACTTCATGCATTCATAACTCTCACCAGGAAAGTACGTACCCCCAGTACAGCTGTTGGGCATGAGGAACATCTCCGTCAGTCAAGATGCGCGCTGGAACAATCAGCCATGGACTTCAATTTGCCAACATTCAGAAAATCGAAAGGCGTGCCTGAAACTCAAGAGTCGAATCAAGCTCGGCGTAGCTGCACCCTTCTCGAGCCCTGGGCACCCCGGCGCCGCGCCCGCCGGGTCAGGGAAAGTTGCGGTGTAGCCGCACCAAAGCGCCTGGAATAGCATAGAGCCCTATCAGTGCTGCGGTCGCTATGGTCGCCATGGTCGCTCGAAAGCTTGAAAGGGACTGCCAGGTTCTCGCTTGGTGCACTGAAGCCACTGCAGCCACTGGAGCCACTGGAGCCACTGGAGCCACTGGAGCCACTGGAGCCTGCTGCTCAGCGTCCACCCGCAGCCTGCCCAATCATGCCGACACATGCCGAATGATGATGAGCTGGTGACATATTCCGTGCCTCGGGTCTGCCTTTGGACCGAGCTCATCCAGCCTGGCTCAAGCCGAGTCGGTCCAATTGGTCAGGTGGGGAGTGACTCTTGGGAGTCCAAACTCTTTGTGCTGAGAGACCCGCGCTTCAAGCCTCTCTCTATCTCTCTATCTCTCTCGCTCTCTCTCTCTCTCTCTCTCTCGTGTTGTCTCCATCTGCGCAGTTGTCCATGTTGTGTTTTCTCCGATCCACGCGTTCTCATTCCCAAATAGGCCAAGGTGTTGATGCAAACAAACGTCTTGAGCCAAACTGGCTACAGTGCATGTTTGGAGTAAGACTCAACTCACTCAGTCAAGGCTGGCACCCAGCCTCCGCAGCAATGTCAGCGCAAGCTCCGCCTCCCAGCCCTGACCAGGACCGTTGAATCCACATACTTCCGCCCCTTGCCATAGGCACACAAGCAATCAGCAAACAACCAACAAGAAAGAAAATAGAAAGGAAGACAGGCAGGCAGGCAGACAGACTAACTGACTCAAACAGACAGCTAAGCCACTAACAAAGACAGGCAAGCAAGCGAACGAAAGCAAGCGAAGCAAAGCAAGGCCAGGCAAGGCAGGCGAGGCAAGGCAAGGCAAGCAAAGCGAAAAACATTGCTGAAAAGAGCCCGCTGCCGGGAAACGCTGTGCAGCTTCAAGCATCCCCATTCCAAATGCTGGCCTACTCTTGCTTGGAAATGCTTGGAACTCTAACAACAGCAGCAAAGCGCCCTCTAACCACCGCTGCCCAACCCGTGTCCTCTTCATCCTCCATGTCGACTTCGGTTGCTGCGATGCAGGGCACAGACATCAGCAGCTGGCCCTCGCTCACCTGCCCGAAGGAAACGAGGCCACTCCCATCTGTTCTCGTGCCCTTGCTGCAATAAACCTTTGAATCCCCAGCCTTTGTCCGAGCAACCCAGCCACGACCTTTGTCTGGCCTGAGCCGGATTGAGCCGGCCCAACTCTTGCAAAGCCAAAGCGGCTGGGCTGGGCCACACCCCTGCACGGACAGACAGCATTCCCTTCTTTCAGGTGCAGGACCAATTATCAGGGGCAACGTAGAGAGTGGGCACGCTTGATTAAGCGGCAACTGAAACAACTGACCCAACTGAACCTGAAGATCTTAAGTCATTAAATGAGTCAGAAACCTCGTACCAGGAGGGCTCACCTCGGCCACGCACACATGCTATGGGGAATAATGATTCATGCAAGTAACTGCAGAAAATGTGAAATCTTGCAAGTTCATTCTGGTTCCTTCTTCAAAATTACATGTCGTTCACATGCTAACACGCAGCTGCTTTGCCATCCTTTTGTATTCTAACACTTGTAGCTCTTGACAGGTGGAAGTCTTCCAGGTGGGCAATAACATCCTCAGGAATGTGTCCTGGGGTTTGCCTCTTTGCCCTTTTTGGGCAAGGGAAACCTCTTCTCTGCAGCTGCCTACAATGGCGCACTTGGCCTACTAGCTTAGCCGCCACAAGCACCCGCAAATATGGCAACAAAACCCTGAAACCTTCCAGAAGCTATTCCAGATTGTCGAAACACACCAGAAACTTCACACAATGCCAAAACATTCTGAAAACTAACAACACCAGTGCGCCAAACCATTCCCAGAAAAGTGAAAAAGCAATCGCAAAAAAACATTACGCATGCGAAACAACATGTTAACAATCTGAAAAAATGCAAAAGTCTGAAAACAATCTACACAATTCTCAAAAAGTCAAAAAAAATCCTCAAGGCATCATTGGTTGATGGCGCCTTTTTCTGTTGTCACGCCTTTTTTAACTGCGGTTTTGGGCGAACACGAAGTAGCCCAGGGAAGCAAATGAGCACAAAGTAGATCACGATGTACCCAAAGCACCCGGAAACACAACTCGGGTGAAGCTGTGGATGATGACCGGGTTGAGGAAGTGACGGTTGACAAAGGAGAAGTATGGGGAGGTTAGAAATCAAGTTGAAGAGGATTAAGTTCAATACCAAGCCCAAGTAGAACAGCGCGACTCACCGAGCACCTCCTACACCCAGCCGCCCGCGGCCCCGACCCTTTTCGGCTCGAGGACGAAGAAAGCTGCCAGTGAATGGCGCACGAGCGTGAGTCCTATTCCCACTTGACGGGAGGTAAAAACTTGAGCCAAACGGCCGTTCGGCCGTTTTGACATATGAAGAAACAACACGTGAACAAAACACACCCCCCTCATCCGATATCTGGACAAGAGAAAGGATGCGAGACAGTTGAGTTCACGACGAAAGGGACCAACCAAAAATGCCGGTGTCAACTCAGAGGTGAGCCAACGGCAGCACCTGGGCCCCAGTTAAAATCCCGCCACCACCCCGAATTAGCGGGGCGACAGGATTATTTGACGAGTGGGCCACATGAGTGAACAGAGACATTATGGAGGAACCAGACGAAGATTCCTCTCGTGTCGTTCATGCATTGTCATGGGACAACAACATGCGGAGGGGGATCCTATCTGGATCACCGCGCCTCACTACACGCCGCGAAGTGGTTGGAGTGGTAAACGAGTTGGGATCACAGAAGAGAAGGACGTTCCGAAATTGGTGTGAAAATACCCGGCTACGGCCGGCCCGGCACTTCTAGTGCGGTCTCAGCCTCACACAGGATCGCCAGGGGAACCGTCTCCGGCGCGCACGGCAGCGGTGCGGGAGGGACACGAGCAACGCCGGATCAGCGGTACAGGGCAATGGAGACCATCACCCCCAGCAGCGCCGCATAGGCGAGAGGAGGACCGGCGCGGTCGCGTTTCTCGGCGACACACGTACTATCCTCGCCCTTCTAAGGCGGATGCTGATTGCGGTACCCGCCTACCACCCTGAACCAGGTTCTTCCCGGTCCCTGGGCACGTCGTCTCTCCGGCGTCCACCACGGTCACCTCGATCACCTCCTCCATCCCGACGGCGATCCTCACCACCACCCCTATTGTGGTCACCAGCCGGAGGTCGGCGAGGCGGAGGGGGATCTGATTGGTGACGTCGGTCATCCCTGCGCCGGTCCCGGTGGCGATCGCGACGGTCATCACCCGGGTCATCACGTCCGCGGCGCTCATCTCGTCCCGGACCGCGCCTCTCGGAGGTCTCCTCATGACGTGGATGAGGTCGGCGATCATCGCGTCGGCCTCCGCGGGTATCCCTGCCACGATCATCCCTTTGTCGGGGCGGGCCAGGATCCTCGCGTCCACCTTTGCCAGGTCGATGTTTTCCTCGACCCTTCCCCTCACCCTTAGGACCGCGACGATCCTCGCGGGCCCCAAGCGCGGTCCTCGACCGATCGTCATCTCGGCGGGGCCGCGACTCATCTGCCGCACGAGTGGTCCGAGGCACACCCGGGGGAAGCTCCCACTCGTCGTTGTCGTCATCGCGCGGATCATAGCCGCCGCGGCCGCCCAAGGAACCGGTGGCATCCCGTGGTGGGGACGCAGGAGTTCCGGGACCGCCCGATCGAAGACGAACTCGGGGAGTCGCGTCCTCGCCGGTAAAAGGATCCTTCTGGGTGTAGAAACCCTTGGTCCTGCCCCTTCTCTCCCCACCTTCCACACCGCTTCTCGCGGGGACCGGGGATGGACGGGCAGGCTGGGCCATGCTCTTAGAGCTGGGTTGCCCGCCAGGCGGGACCTGAACGCCCCCCTGCCCTTTTTCGGGCGCGGGGACCCGACCATGAGATGTCCTCCTGGCCTTGGGTTGGTCGGACTCACCCTCCAGCTCGGACTCGGTGTCAGGGACACGAGTATTGATGGCCGCGTCCTCGTCCTCAAAAGGATCCTCAGCCGTCGTAACGTCAGCCGCAATGGGAGCGGGAGGAGGAGGAGGAGGAGGAGTTGGTACAGCATCGCCAGGCTTGACGCCCGCATGCGACACCACGGGAGTCTCCGGTTCTACCGGGACAGGTGGCGCAGGAGGAGCCGGGGGCAGCGGCGGAGGGGGAGGGATTTCCTCCTCGTCATCGTCCATGGGCTCGTCAGGGTCGTCAGACTTCTCTTCCTCGCCGCACGAGGACCCATCCGATCCCAGCTCGTCCTCCGCAGATCCAGCAAAGTCGGGCTCGTCTTCATCCTTCACGCCGGGGCCTGGTGTAAGGCGTATCCCGGGCCGATAACGATCGCGAGGTCGGAAGCGGTACTTCCGGGGCGTAGGGTCGGACAGCTCCTGCTTGATATCATCCTGGGTTTGAGGACGGTCAGCCAGGCAGGTGTCGTAGGCAACGGTGGACGTCCGGTAGATCAGATCGTCCATACTGCTGAGGTCGTTGAGGGTGTAGACGTACCCCTTCTTAACGCCTTCCCGTATCTTGTCCATAGCCCGCTTGAGGCGCGCGGCAGGATCGAATCCGGCCCTTCTCCGCATGGCCTGCAATATCCCGCAGTGCTGAGCGAGCAGCCTCATCTGGAACTTAAATCCCTCCCCAGACATATCGTTGGGGAGTATCGGAGAAAGATGTCCTGATCTCAGCCCAATGATATGGGCCTCAAGAATGTAGTAGGACGTGTAAAAGCCGCACCGGTTGGCGTTGAAGTTTGCGGTGGTTAGGCGTCTGCCCCATTCAGCCGCATACCCTTCATACTCCTCGAAAAAGTCGGAGACGGAGCTCCCGTTGAAGGCAAGACCTCTTACCAAGATCGCCTTTGCAACCCAGTCTTCCACGTTGTGGTCGACCGTATCACGGTACTTCCCGTCAACAACCTCGTCCCGGAGCGAGTCGTGAAGCTTTCGGAAAATGCCATCCACGTCCTCTTTGTCGAGGTACTTAGGAGGCCGCATCCCAGACATCAACAAGGACCGGGCGTCGACGGCGGGACTCTGCGAGTAGAGGGCCATCCCGATGGCGTTGGCGTCTGCGTTGTTCCACAGAGCGGGGACGAAGCCCTCGTATTTTGCCAGCCAGGGAGGGATCACCCCGTCGGTGCTCGCTATCGTGCGAGGGCCGCCGTTCGTGTCTCCGGTGGGCAGGACGCCCTCATAGAAGATGGGAAGGTAGCAGGCGGTGCACAGGTGAGCGCCGACCGGGTGAGCCGTCATGCACCTATGGCATGGAACGGACACCACCTCGCGGACATGTTCCGCCTTGGCGATCTGGTGATATTTCTCCATTTCGTCCCGACATTTCCTCGGGTTATCTCTCACGGAGTTGAGGAAGTTGGGTGGATAGCACCAAGGCCTCAGGTAAATGATGGAGCAGTCCTCCTTGAAGTAAACGCATCTCCAGTATCCGATCGCGATGTTCTCGCGCGAGGCAAATGTACCCTGACGAGTAATATGCATGCCCCCATTTTCCATGGAGAAGAAACGTGCATCGATAGCCATGACCACATAACGGGGATCGCTCCTCTGGCGTCGACCCGAGGTGTGTAGCTCCGTCACGTTGCTGTCGGTGATGCGGTCGACAGTGTCGTTCGGGCACTCTCCGTGATCGCGGAGGGATTGATACTCATCCGGCCGAGAGGGAAGGAGCTCGATCAAAGCTCGCCCACCCCGAATGATCGCCCCACGTTCTACGTAGAGCCGATACATCCGGAGAGGCACCACCTTGTAGAGCGTCTTGGGAACCACCTTGGAAGTGATGGGAAGACAGACAGGGCTCTCGTAGAGCATGTATTGATACCGTTCACGAAATGCCCGGTAATCAGTGTCGGATCCAATCTCAAGTGACCTTACCGCCGCTATGCGTGCGGATCCAGGCAGCAACCAATGCTCCTTGTCACGAATGACGGTGATGATGATTTCGAACATTCCCACTCCGTCCTCGAGGAAGGAGGCCAGGAGATACGATGAAAAAGCTTCCTCGGATTCGACACTTGTGCCGAAGTAGTGGCTCAGGAACTTCTTCAGTTGTATCACCGAAGTGACGTTCCCTTGTCCGCTGGCGGACGAGGCCTCCAATTCTGGGTCCTTGACTGCACCTGCATTTCCAGGCTGCACCGCTGTC